GGTAAAATGAGTGCTATACTTTTCTGTATAAATTAAGAGATTTGTTTGCTTCCCAATCCTCCAAAATATCATGTATGAACTCAAAAAGGAAGCGGGGAAAGGAGAGACAAAGATTGTGACAGGCTTTGTTTTGGCCCTTTTCAACCATGCCTGGCTTAACCTGTTAGGTAAACAGAGAAAGCTAGCTTATTCAGCAAAATATGAATAAGCAAAATGCTACCTAAAATGATATAACCAGTCACTTTTGACAATACAGGTAGTTTTGGGTTATGACAGGTATTGGGACTAGAATTGCTATTGCTAAGTGATACAGTCATAAACTGTGATATCCAGCACTGATGATGTTATGTAGTTTGAGTAATGAAACGTCTGCAGGAAAACAGCCAAGCTCAGAGAGCACAAAGGGCTCCTGGTTTTAACCTTGGGCTACAAATATTCTCCTTTATTAAAACTGTGACATCACATTACTGCACTGCTTAGCAATAGTAGTTCTGGCAGTCCCATTTCAGGTTGTTAAGTGAGCCGTACATAGGTTGCTAAATGAAAACTTTATATGACCATGACTTCCAATTTCTTGCCAGCTTCCCCCACTGACTTTGCTTGTGGGAAGCTGGTAGGGAATGCTGGCAATCACAAGCACAAGACTGCAGGGTTGCTGTGACAGCTATAACTCCAAGTCATAAGCCCCCCCCCCCCATTGAGCACCATTGCAAATTTGAATGGTTGCTGAACGAGCGGTCAAAACCTTAGGTGTGGTTTCCATATTAATAATAATTTATATGCTGCCTGACTATCAGTGACTTTGGGCGGGTAACAAATATTAAAATGTTTAAAAACAAAGAACAATACAAAACCCACAAAAAATAGCACAAGATGTATGTCAGAAAAAGATTTGGAAAGTCGGTGCATTTCCTTCATCTGCAGAAATTGTTTCAATTTATCACCAGGTAAAGAAGCAGCCTGTTTAAAAAAACATCTGTGCCTAGCCAGCAAGAGAAAAAAGTCTAGCACGTTCTGAATGCACATTTAAAAAACAGTCTGGAGCTAGTTACAAATCTGAGAACATGGTTTTGCCAGATGCAGGTGCCATTAATTATTATGATTTTGATGATCACAACGGTACCAGTGTAAGTGGGAAAAGAATGTGATAGCCTAGAAAAGAAAGTATACCATGTATGGACTCTTCCACAAACATATGCAGAAAAACCCTATATTGCAAAACAAGTTCATTCAGCAGACCAGAAAAACATTGTATCCTGCAGGCCAGAAGTATTTTCTATCACCAGAGGAAAGGGAGAAATTTTAATATATTAAAACAAGAATTACTTTGTTTTGGGCAATATTTTAAGTAATCTCACTAAAATTACTAATATGCATATAGCTTCTCACAAATTGGCTGAAGCTGAGAGATCAATTCCACCACCATCCCCAGCTTGTTGGTGGCACGATACAGTGGTGGGATTCAAATATGTGAACAACCGGTTCTCTGTATGGTTGCCACTTCCGGAAGTCCATTCTGGGCCTGGGCAACAAAAAATTAGCTACCGGTTCTGCCGAAGTGGTGCCAACCGGCTGAATTCCACCACTGGCATGATAGACAAATTATTAAAATACGCTAATTTAAACTCCCAAGTTTATTGCTGTTCATACTGTAATTTTTTGAAAAGAAAATGACACTTCAAGCTAGAAAGAATCACAACTTACCAAAATCCAAAGCTTAACTCCTTCTTTAGTGATTAGGATGAATAGTCTTGTTTTCATGCAAATGTTGGAGTTTCTGCAAAAAAGAATTTCTGTTAAGTAATTAACCTGTTATCTACAAGATAGAATGGGCAAAATATTACTAAGATTATTTATTTCTAAGCTTATTTAGAAGAGAGTATTTCAAATTAATTCAGCTTTCTATTCTTCTTAGAATAGGAAACGTCTGATCTTCCAGCTGTAGCTGATATACATCTCTTATTATCAGCTTCAATGATTTCTTCAAAGTACACATTCTCCACATACACACCTTGCTAGTTATTACTACTATGTAAAGGATGGTTATACATTCACAATTTAAAAATCATTAATGTGTTAAAATTATAACAACGCTCCCCAAACAAAAGAAGCTCCAATCTTACAGAGTGATTCCACAATCTGTCATAGGTAGTTTTAAAGAGAAAAATGAAGAAGAATCTAGCCATAAAGGTTCCAGTCCCAGCTTCTGTGAAAATAATAGATACAAGCAAATACTGAATTAGAATGGACAGCTGTTTCAGTATGGAGTGTGTTTTACTTACAAAGCCCATGGGCACTGCAATTACTGATGTAACAAATATTATTGAGTTAGCTTTGTTACGAGAAATTCTATTTAGGTGAAAAAAGAATAGATTGATAAAATCATGGGGACATAAAGTTTTGTACATAAAATTATATAATTTCCTATCTAAATAAAAGAAAAAAGAAAAATGCTTGATTCAGTAGAGATATATGTAACCTTGTTAAATATGCTTAGTGCCCACAAACCAGTAAACAGCAGTTCAGCAGGGAAAGGAGAAATTCAGTCACCTGCTTGTTTTTCTAGCACACAGCCAGGGCTGCAAAAATATACAGCTCTGGGTATAGGCTGGAAATATCTTATATGCTATTTCCAGGCCTAAGACAGCTTCCATTCACATATTATTCACAGCAGCTACATTAAAAGGAAAAAGTAAACAACACTGTCAATTTAATACCTAGTTTAAGAAACTTTAATCATGTTAAATCAATGCATACCATTAGATGCATCATTTGAACAAGTTTTTCTACTTGCCATTCGAGCTTTATGTACAATACAAGCAATGGTATGTTCATTCTTTTTTCCCCTCCTCAAAAATCCCTTCAAAAAGTCAGTCCAAGATCCTCCCCTGTGTAACTATAGGAAAAAAAGAATTGGGGGAAATATTTCTAAATCCCTCAACTATTCTCAGTTGTTCAGCAGTAATTAGACACATCACTACATAGAAAGAATAAATATTCAACAAGTATTTACATCAGCAAGATAGCTGAAAAGCCACTTAAAATTACTCAGCACTTTTAGAGGAGATAGTGTTTAGTACAATGAATTTGAATGTGTTGTTAGTTAATACAAGATTCAATCTCTTTACCTGGAGACCTCTTACAATAGAGTTACAACTGGAATATTGGAGTCTCTATAAAAAGGCAATTAGGAGATAACCCCAGATTTAAGTTTATCATTATCGATAGTCCTCATAGACAGGAAGTCTGTGCAGAGAGTGGAGAGGACAGCAGAAAAGATTATTGGATGTCACTTCCTTCTATTCAGGCCATAACATATGTTGTTCGTCCATCGATTTCGATGAAGACCTTGACATCTTGTGGATTGTGGACCATCAACGGTGTGTCCGTAGATGGCTGATTAGACCGATGTTAGCACGGAATGTTCTGCCACATACTGAACAGAGAGATGTGGACACTGTTGCTTCAGCATTTGCAGCTCTGGCTTTACGGAGTGCTCGCTTCTCTTGTGCCAAGATTGTCCTCCTGTGTTCATATGTCTGGCACCCCTGGTAAACCAGGGTACGCCATGTCGGTCGATCATGCGCCAAGAGTTCCCAAGAGATGGTGTCGATATCCAGGGACTTGAGAGATGCTTTCAGCGTGTC